TCGCTCGGTCTAATTGTTAATCAACACTAATCAGTCCAGGACTGCATCCTGCAGGATTTGCAATTATTGCATGCAATTGTTGTGTCAGGGCAGTGATTGGAAAATTGTGAAATGGATTTTTGTTGAGTTCACTCTAAACTGACCCTGACCCTCAAACGGTCTGCAGAGACTGAGCACTCACTTGCTCAGACTGACCAACTTTCTCTCTCCAGGCATGTGATAGCAAATGAGTAAGTACTAAAGAGAAAACTCGATTCCTATTACATCCTGTTTTGTCTTTTGTTTTATTATTTTACTATTTATCTATTGTGGAAATGGCGGATGCTTAGAAGGGAGAGGCTTCTGAGGTGAAGCCTCAAATCCCGCTTGACCCTTTAGAGGCTGAACTGCGTGCCCAGGAGGAGAAACTCCGCCAACAGGCACAGGCAGTTGAGGATCTAAAGGCTGAGCTAAAAAAAAAAAAAAAAAAACTTAGAAGGAGGCCATGAGAAAATTGTTGGTTGCAGATATCGAGAAGATCAGGGTGCGTGATAGTTCCAGCCAGTACAATAAGGCCATGGATGACTTCATCCTCTTGAAGGATGACACTCATCGTTCTTATTTATCTAACTGGGACGAGAGGATTACTAGTCCGGAGAGCAGTCACTCAGCTTTTTCCAAGAAGTTGGATGACATCTTTTCCAAACTGGACCAGATCTTTACTTATTTAAAGATCCCAACCACCCTGACCGTTCCTCCATCTCCTGGGCCCTCCAAAGCATGCCCTCAACAACCCCCACAATCCAGACCTACATCCCCTCCCTCTACACTCGAGCCAACAGCACCATCTCAACCCTCAGTCTCATTTGATATGCAGCGGCCCAAGCTGACCCTTCCACCAATGTTCTCTGGCGAGGACCCAAAGGTGGATGTTGCAGATTGGGTCACTGCAAAACGAACCTACCCGAGTGGGTTCAAATGTGACGAGGACGTGAAGGTGAGTGTCATCCTGGCTCGCCTGGAGAGGACTACACTGAAATGGTGCACCTCCACGAGAGATATGATTACACACATATGGATAAACAAAGAAGAATATGCCTCGAGCATTACTATCATGGTGTACAACATCTCCTACTCACCAAAACTCAACCCTTCCACTCAATACGCCACTCAGATTGAGGTAACCACTCACTTACTGCCCTATGAGTGTCGTGCCTTTGCAATGCCTCGATCTTGATCACCCAGTCCCGGGTTCCAAAAATCCCTCAGCCTGCTTCAGAGATCGTTCCGCGGCATGTGGCGCCTAGATCGCCGAGTGGGCACCCGAACAGCACGGTTCACCATTTTACGATTCACCGAAGTACCACAGGGCAGCGTAGGCCTTACCCTACTAGATGCTCCCCTTTGTGACTCAGCAGATGTAGAGTCTAAATTGTCTTACTCTGCAGTCAATATCAAGGAGATCTCGGGCTTATTGCCTCGACCCCGACCATCCGGTCCTGGACAAAAAAACTTGGCCTACTTCAGAGACCGCACCGCGGCATGCGGCGCCTAGATCGCTGAGTGGGCATAAATAAAAACAAAAACAAAAACAAAATAAATAAATAATTTCGTCTGTTGAAGTTGTAATATCGCAGAGCTCACACGTTTTACCATTTTACGATTCGCCGAAGTACCACATGACAGCGTATGCCATCTGCCACATGCTTCCCTTTGTGACTCAGCGGATGTAGAGTCTTTCCCTCATCAACAGAATGTCCTACTCTGCAGTCAATATCAAGGAGATCTGCGGCCGGTTGCTTTGGCGGTTGATGCCGATGCCGAGTGCTGCCTCTTCGTGACTCAACAGATTTGTCTTACTCAGTTGTCCGAAGGTTTACAGTCGATTGGCGGCTTGATGTTAAATTGTGTTTGTGACGAGCTCAATCATCCGGTCCCAAAAGGGTATGTTGTATCGCGGTTTCATCCATCTGAGGCCCAAGACAACTACTTTTTTGGGGTAGTCAATTTTTTTTAATTCCAAGGCTAGGGTGAGTACCCCCAAGCAAACCATACCCAGATCATTACAATTTTGTGTGATCCGGAGGATGGTATTAGCAACAACAACAAATTTCGCCTTTTTTTGCCCATACGATGAAAAATCTTTGTAGGTCCGAAATCGTAGCGAACAAGGGGACCAGACTGTCCCCGCATTCTTGAACTTGTGAGCTATGAGCACGAACGCAGAACCCTCAGAAACGATCATTCTCGTCTCCAGGAAATCCAAAATCCCGAACCCAGAATCAATTTGCTCAAGTACAAGTCCCTCTGGATAGCATTGCGTGGCACGATCCAGACGTCCTTCGGCTTCCTCAAAGCCTTGGGGGTCATCTTTTCGAAAAAACGAAAAGATCAATAGGTCATCAATATATTTTTTCCCAGTTACCAACCTCGCATCAGAACCAAGTAACCGCAAAACCTTGAATTCTGATAGCATAGAGATGACCCATGCAAGCAGAGGGCTTGCCCTCCCACCCATTGGGATGCCCTTCTTCTGACGAAGGACCGCATCTGCCACTAAAAAGACTGTGTTATGAAGTTGATATTGTGTTAATTGGATTAATTTGCTTAGGCGGATGAATTTCCATCCAGCCTCGCCATGGGACTTTCCAAAGGTGGCTGTCTCTTCCTAACATTCAAGCGGATCCATCTGATACCTTGTTTTGATAACAACTAAACCAACCATTCCACAACTTGTGAGATTTCCAAATGTGGGAGTTGAGTGAACATTTCCTTGATGTCGTATGTCCGTGCAACAACACCAAGGGTAGATGCCACCCCTCTTTTGTTAACTTTCTCAATTTTTTGTTGTAGATCACTTAGGCTTAAAAGGTTCAAATGAGGAACTTTTGCCTTCTTAATTAACACGTTTAGAGCCAAAGAAAGAATGATAGATGCAGTACGAAAAGAACTTTGATATGACGGGACAATCGGTCTCCAGTTTTCTTTGTCCTTTTCTTTTGCCATGACATAGGCAAACTGTAATTCTCCACATCTGTCCCATTTAGCAATGTTAGAAAGACCAGCCTTCTCATAGCCTACTTTCATTGTAGGCAACATATCATTTTTACTTCCAGTCATTCTTTCATAATTACTATTACCCAAAAACATTTTTTGAAGGCCTTGCTCATACCGCTTTGGACACTCAATCCAAGTTTCACTTGGGTTGTGGTCCAGGGGGCAAGAACGAGACCCTCCAAAGCCTGTTTAACACCAAAAACATACTCACTAAGGACACAGCCAGCTGGCATGCCATTATCCTTTCTTCCAACTGAACCAAAATCAATCCTTAGTTGATATTTTACAATCCCTATTTTTCGCAGCCATCAAGTGCTTCATTACAAGCTCGATTCAGTGTCTCCCTGGTTACAACAGAACCTGGAAACGACACATTTTTTGCATTGTGGAGAAACGGTTTTATCCCATCAACATCACTAAGCTTAACCGCGATGTACCCATCAATCTTAGGCAAATCGAAATATTCACGCACACAATCAAATTTTCTGCAGCGTGCGAAATATTTTTGATTATGCAAGATGCCTCCGACAAACGTAGCTTTAAGCCAAACTGCTCGAGTTCTTTTTGCGTACAGGTCAGCTAATGATGTTGGTTGGATTTGACCACCAATCCAGTCCTTCACAAAGTCTTCAACCTTCCTTTTATCAATAGATGTACAAAAATGAATTTTAATGTTACAGAAGCACGGGGATTAATACCAAAACATTTCTTACAGGTGTTGGTTAGCAACCCATAAATAATCTGCCTACCTCGGTGTTGGTTAATAGTTTTGACTACACCGTTCAGTTCAAGGAGTTCAGCCAAATTCTTTTTAAACATATCCTCCCGTTTCCACGGGGCTCTCAAGAGCGAAATTAACTCGACTTTTCTCATTTCAGTTTAGTACGGGTTCGAACCAGTTCGGTGATGGTCCACATACCACCTCCTTCGATCCGGTTCTTAGCATCCTTCAGTAGTGCATTCTCATCATTTATCTTAATTTTTGAATGTCCATACAACAAAGCAGACAAACGCCAAACCTTCTGCCATCGGCCCCCAGCATTGTTATTTATTGCAATCATTCTCATTTTTTTGTCTTTAGAAAGGGTTTTGAGCACTCTCAGAAGATCAAGTTCATTACATAGGTTAGCATCTTGGCATGGAAACAATAGAGGTTCTGTGCTTTGGAATGGTGTGAGTATGTGTGTTTTATGCTTGCCACAAGTTCTTCTTTTTCTGCCATGATCCATTTTTCCACGCGAGTTCAATAGACAAACAAAAGAGTTTTAAACTTTTAATAGTGGTATGTTCAAAACACTCGATGGCGTAATCTCCACCAAACCAAATGGGAATCGGAACGTAGAAAGCGGCCCCGACCTTCCTTAACCATTAATGAACCTTTTGCTTGTTGGTTCCACAAACGGAACGATAATGCTCTGCCCATCTTTCCCTCAGCGTTCTTACTATTTTCCCCACGTACACGAGCTTGTGGTTCAATGACATTAGCACATACACACAACCTTTCCCTTTGAGCAACTATTCCCAATCATCCTGGGATAACCCCAACCAGAACCCAACTGTTATCCCCTCTTAAACATGCTAATAGAAATAATGACAACATGGATTTAATCCAATAAAGTTCATAGCATTACATCAACCACCTATTTCAGAGCTATAATGCGTGGAGCCGCTCTTCTGAGTGAGCGTAGGCTTCCCCTACTTAGTTTGCCTTCACTGGATCTGTTCCAGTCTCCGCGGATTCACCACGGGTCACATTCTTCCGAGACAGTTCTCCGTTCTTTACTTCACTGAGGGCGTCAGTATATTCTTGCAGATCGATTCGGGCTAACTCCCAAGCACCCATTTCCTTTTTGAAGTACTACACATCCTTCTCCTTACAGAGTTCTTGTACCCTTGTGCAGTGCAGTGAGTTGTAGTACTCCAGTCTTAGCTTCATATAGGCAGCAATACCACCATCATATGCCTCTTCATACTCCTCTTCATTAGTTGCGTTTCGGACAAGGTCAGCATGCTCGCCTTCGTCCGTGGCAACTTGCGTTGAGGACTCAAGTCCTATGACCCTACACTTCCCTTACTCTTCCCTTTCGGGTCATCGATGCCATGGAGTAGGGCCGCTAACATCTGCTTGATGTCCGATAGCTCACTCTTGCTTTCCATTCTCGTTTCCAAGTTCTGTTTCACTCTTGCAGTCCCATCATCGTCAGAAATCTCAATGCGTTTTGGCCTTGTCTTCATGCTCCCGCGCGATCCGGTTTTAACCCGCGTTGCAGACGGGGAGTTCTCCACAGGAGTTCGTGCAGCCATTCGCTTCCTTTTCTCGGTGCTCGACTCCCTACTCTCTTTTTCTGCCTTTTGCTTCTCAAGCCTAAGTAGTTTGAACTCTTCTCGTTCTGCTGCAGACATCTTCGACTTCTTATCTACCTCCTCGAGTTTCTCATTGATTAGTCCTAATGAGTTGCCGAGAGTGGTGGTCGCCCATGCCTTTATGTCGTCACTTTTCTCATTCGAGCGTGCCTCCAATCGACTCCCTTCATCTGAAAGCTCGACGATCTTCACACTGCTCTTGTGCGGGACTCCCATCTTCTTTTTGCTTGATCGAGCACTTTGTCCATCTTGATTCCTTCAAGAATCTCTATGTACTCTTTCGTAAAATATGACTGATTTCCTGGTCCCAAGAAATTGTTCGCGGCTGGTCCTTTGCCTGCACCATTGGTTATGGATGAGCTCCCACCATGGCCGTTGTGTTGTGGTGCTTGGAATTGAACAGGCGCAGCGACTGGTACGGGCGTCGTCATCCCTGGCATAGGCGGCGGAAGAACCCACTGACCATTAACAGGTCATTGATTAACAGACTGCCATTGTTGCGCTCCCCATTGTCCCTGATGTAGTATTGGATATTGTACCAGCATCGGCCCACCAAGCGGATGCATAACAGCAGTCGTCAGAGGGGCATGACATCCCCCGTACGTGTACTGCGACTGTGCGGTGGCACCCAGCGGTATCAGGCTTGCTGATGTCGTACCATTTCCACTCTGATACTGGGCGGCTTGTGGCGGCTGCTGATTGGGGTTATATCCCCCCACATTGCTTCCCTCCATCCAATATCGTCCACAATTGGACCACCTCCCTCTTTTGTTACCCGTCTTACTCCCTCGACCTCTAGCGTAGGCACCAAGTAATGCAACGCAGACCCAACTCCCACTCCGGCAGCGAATTCAAAATAATTCGTCTAATCCCTCGCCTCGAGCATTACTGCCTGTAGCAATAACCTTAACAACCATGCCACGAGTTCACCAGAGGGCAAGAGCACCCTACACAATTTGCGCCATCGTGCTTTCACGACCACTTGTGTTCAGACTAAGCAACCCGCATTTCCCGACACCCGCTCTGACAGCGAAATTCGTGGCTTCACAGTTTGGATGAGACTACTCCCCTGCTGCACCGGCCACCCATAATCGTCAATCTTCCAAGTGATGAAGCACAACCCGACACACTTCGATCGGAGTCGTCGCGAAATCACCGAAGCAGCTCGACGGGACACCGCGCCAACCACTCTTATGGAGAAAATAAACACACCCTTATCGCATATATATCAAATCAAGCCCTATCGATATGTTATAGTTGTTAGGAATTATCATGGCATAAACCCACGTAAGAGCTTAACCACGAACAACGAAAGAGGATGAATGTAAAATACTGATTTCGTAAATGCATTAACACATAAGCTTATGAAATGCTTGAAATACACATTGAAAATTATGTATTGCAAAACACATATGAAAAATACATATTGAAAATTACATACTGAGAATTAAATAACATACATACGCATACGCACGATTCTATGTAGTAGAAGCGGCACCTCAGTCGTGTTTCCAAGCCACGACAGTCGCAACTGAGGTTGTGGTCCATGAGAGAGATGATTACACACACATGGATAAACAAAGAAGAAGATGCCTTAAGCATTACGATCATGGCGTACAACATCTCCTCCTCGTCGAAACGCAACCCTTCCACTCAATACGCCACTCAGATTGAGGTAACCACTCACTTACTGCCCTATGGTTAAATACCTTTCTTGTCTACTCAAGAACCCTCTTCGAGTGTCGTGCCTTTGCAATGGCTCGACCTTGATCACCCAGTCCCAGGTTCCAAAAAAACCCTCTGCCTGCTTCAGAGATCGTACCGCGGCATGCGGCACCTAGATCGTTCAGTGGGCACCCCAACAACACCCAATATTATTTTTAGGCCCTGGGACCTCACGTCACAGAGAACTCGTAAGACAAAAATCAGAAAAACAAATTATTTTTAGGCCCCGAAATATTTTATGCGGGGGACGAATGTCGTCGAGTTCGGATCCCATACGGGACCTCGAACGCCCGTACATACGGAGGTCTGCCCGGGGACCTCCGTACGTACGGGCTGGTGACCCTATATATATATATATAGGGTTGCCGGCGTTCGGGACGGAACCCGAACGCCCGAACGTACGGGACCCCTTCGGAAGGCGTTCGGCCGTTCGCTCCGAACGCGGACCAAAAAAACAAAAAACAAAAAAAAACAAAGGTTTTCAAAAATTCCGAAACAAAACTATGTTATGGATAAAAATAAACTAAACAACATTTGCCTGGGCATTACATCCAAATTCTTTACCAAATTTGAATTAAGAATTAAATACAGAAAACAAACACTATGATAAAAATAAGAAAAAATAAAAAGAGAATTAAAATGAGTGAGTGTGCCAGCACCTTTTCGACACCACCATCTTTGGTGATTTTTAATTATTTTTTGGAATTGAAAAATGCCCTGAATTTACAGATATGTAGTTTACATAATCAATAACCCACTAAAATTTTTCAAAAAATAATAAATGTTTTTAGGCCCCGAAATAAAGTGAAAAAAAAAAGTTAAAAGTGAAAAAAAAACAAAATAGTGAGTGGGCGAGCACGCTTTGACACCCCCATCTTTGACGATTTTAAATGTTTTTTTGGCTGAGAAGAATGGCTTCAAAATTTATAGGCGTGTAGGTTACATCATAGAGAACTCACAAAAAAACATTCAGAAAAAAAACTTATTTTAAAGTCCCGAAACATTTTTTGGCGGGGGCCGAACCTGGAGCTGTTCGGCCCCTGAACGGGACCCCGAACGCCCGAACGTTCGGGGGCCAGCCCAGGGTTCCCCGAACGTTCGGTCAGGTAACCCTGTGTATATATATATATATATCGTACACATATAGATACTTGTTTACATTAGTGACCGCATGTGGCCGTAATTGCAATCATATACATGAAAGTGACTACAATTTTTGTTTTTTGCAAGAAACCAGAGCAGAAAAAAAGATGAACCTCATTGGTGGAAAGCGAGATTTCCTATCTGCATGGTGGACTCTGTGTGTGTGTGTGTGTGTGTGTGTGTGTGTGTGTGTGTGTGTGTGTGTGTGTGTGTGTGTGTGTGTTTGTAGCTCGCTCGCTGACTCGTAAGCGGTGATCAACAGGGCAAAAGCTTACACGAGCGAATGTAGAGGAAGTCACTGGCTCATACATCGATGACGCCCAAACGAAACTACACTGACAAGAAACGAGAACAAAAGTAACGCGCCTCTCTCTCTCTCTCTCTTTCTATCTTTATGGCGCGCGAGGGGGGGCTACCCCCCATGAAAACAAAAAACAAAATGAGTGTATCTTGTTGTAGAAAATAAAAGGGCTCGTCAATTTGCTCGGAAAAAAATGTATGTATTTTGCGACCTTTCCTGAGCAGATGCACTCGCTTTTTTTTTTTTTTCGTTTTGTGAGTTCCCCCCCCCCCATTTCGTGTGCCGTGCGGCAAGACCCTCTCTCTCTCTCTCTCTCTCTCTCTCTCTCTCTCTCTCTCTCTCTCTCTCTCTCTCTCTCTCTCTTTTTCTTTCTTTTTTTCTTTTCTTTTAGTAAGCGGTATTCAACAGTGCGGAGCTGACTCTATGTTAGGAGGAGGAGAAGTAATAACTAGCTTTTAAAAGGGTCTTTACGAATTAGATCCCAGATGTATGCCAACAGCGAGGGGCCCTGTCGGCCAGAGCTTAAATCCACGAGCAGCAACCCCATAGACAAAGTTCCTGAGGCAAATGTCGCATCCACAATGAAGTGAAAAGTCATTTTGAATAGTCACAAACAGGTCCTGCACGAGCAGGTATTGGACATAGTTTTCAAGACTGAGTTAGGGTCATGTCTCGTCGATGGAAAGTCATGTCTGTTCGGCAATAAGTCAGAGGCCACAGTCCCAGTCCAGTCATAATCCCACGAGTCAGTCCTGATTCAGACCAGGAGTCCAAGAGAGAGGCCCGATGGCCCAAAGTAGCACCAGATCATACTAGGACATACACTTTGCAACAACGGGTACTGGGCAGGAGTCCCAGACACTTGAGGCTGAATGCAGGGCACGCCGGGTCAGTCCAACACTATAAAGGACTGGCCAGCTTCCCATTTGGACAGATGCTCACTTCGCATGAGAGTGTGGAAGTGTTGTGGCACTTGTGCGCTAGATGTGTGTGAGTTGCGCTGTCGAGCGCAGTGGTCTGGCACCGCACAACGCAACGCGGGACCCTCTTGGCCGCGTCACGCAGGAGTTGGTCTACACCTTCCATGAAAATACACAATGGAGCTTCCGCAAGCCGCTCCGGCCGAGTGCGCCAGCCATACCTCTCGCGAGCCCCTACGACAGGATAGGGCCTATGCGAGGCACGACTTACCTCCACTTTACGAGAGTTATCACCTCCCTTCGGGGGGCGTATCCCCGCCGAGCTACAAGTCCACAGTACGAAAGCTAATCAGCTGCAATCGTAGAGGTGGACCAGTCGAGGGTGTTTCTCATTCGATGCAGCATAGGGGGTACGCACGGTAATACGCCTCTATCGGACCCGTACGCGAACCGACATCTGGGGGGGGCTGAGGTCCCAAGCGCGGCTCGTCGCCAGTCGACTAGAACGCATCCCACGCACCACGCATACACCACTCTGAAGAATGAAAAAATTAAAAACACACACACACATACACACACATATACACACACACATACACATACACGAAACGACACAAACAAACGACGGGATAATTCTCCTAGTCCCTAGGTAGCCATCCCATAACTCTCCGAAGCGGAAATCGGATGGGCGTCGCGTGAGAGACTTAGTATAAAACTGCACGGGCGCAAGGCCTACTCATATCGACTAGCAATGCAATCATCTGCAAGCAGTCACAATGATGGCGTACTATGTAGTGCCCATAATCGAGTGGTCCTTCGTGAATCGGAGTACCGCTTATGACACTCACGTGTCAGACTCGAAGTATCGTGAAGGCTTGCCCCTTCACGATATTGCACGGCTGAAGGAATAGTCGTGCAGCCGCCGCGAGACCTCCGGCCTTTAAGCTGAGTGTCTCGGTAGGCAGGGCAAATAGGCTCTGCACGGGGGGAGATTCCTTCCATGCAGAGTCTAGGGTCCGGGATGTCCTGGACAAGGACCTGAAATCCAGGACCAAGACCAACGTCAGACTAAGAAATCCTTATGAAGCATTCAACAATAAAGCGGAGTTTTCTTTCTCTTCTCGATCTCAACCCCCATTTCACCTTTAAGCGTAGGCCCCTCAGGCCATGCGACCACCCTGCATAGGTACACATATATATTTACATATATATTATATACATATATAGGGGAATAAGTATGCGACGATCTACGTAGCACCGTGTTCGCGTTCGGAGGCGAACGCGAACAAGCGCCAAAAACCCTCCGAATGCGAA